TTTGATGCGGCCCGCAGATATCTTGGAAGATCCGGAACATTTGCTCGTGCTGCGGATCGTCCACGACTGGAAACATCGGGCTGCTGCTGTAAGATTTTCCTCCTTCTTCCACCAGCTGCCTAACAAACACCTGTTCCACCTATGGCAGAAGAAAAGACCACCAAGATGCTTAAATAAAATGAGAGAACTTAGAGCAGCGATTCTTAACCGGGGCGTGGGGGCTTTTGAAGGGTGCCACAAGGCTTGGGCTTGTCCCTGCCTGGACAATTCCTGACCCCCTATTGACCAGCCCCTATGCAAGGAGGTATGTATTGCCATAAGTAAATTCATCTTTTAAATTGGACGCCACTCGACTCGCAAGAGTTATGGAGGGCGCTGTGCGTCCTGCGAGGGCCATCTCAAGTCCAAAATGATTGAGAACCACTGGTTCAGAGTTTCTGATTCCTTTCGCTCCCGATTACCTTGCCGGCTGAGCTAGCTATTAATGGTTTAACCAATACAACTGCTACGGTAAAGCCGATGCTTGCGGTATAGCGCATCAGTGCTACAAGCGAGAGGTTGGTTACAAAAGGCACAGGTAGAGAGGTACCAGTGGACCAGGAAAACCTTCAAGAGAGGAACTGGGAAAAGAAGGAAGGATGCTCTTATGGAGGAGACACTGGCCTACAACTCAATGATCTTGAGCAAGTCACTAAATCCCCTTATGCCTCAGCTGCCCTTCTCTGGCCACGAGCAGACATAAAATGCCCCAGCATGATTTACACTGGTTTGTAAGTCAGGATCAAGACTGGACAGGCATGCAGCCATGCCGGGGTGGCTCACACGGGATGGGGCTGTTACTATACCGCACCATTAGGTGAGCAAGTATTTGCCTTCAGCAAACTGCTACCCTGGGATGAACATGGACAAAACCTAGTGGCATTTATTTATTGCATTTATCCAATTCTTTCAAGGGAAATAAAGGTCATTCTCCAGCGGATGGACCAAGTCCCCTAGGTCAGGGGTCTGTGCTGTCTGCTGTTACACGCGGATGTAAGCTGTGTGCCTGTCCCTGCTCTTGGTCTGCCTTGCCTGTTTAAATGCTATGCACTTCAAAGAGGGGAGTGTCTCTTTATGACTGCTGCAGCAATGCTGAGACCACCGGCAAGCAATAAGCCCCACATGGCTGCCTTTTGGAGCATCCCTGGGCATACGCCTGGGATCTCAGCTGTGCTCTTGAGAGCACTGTTGGGTATGCCTGACACAGCTCAAACTCCTGCCACACAATATAAGTAGGTGCAACTTATTTCAAGGCAGTCCTGGGATCACTGGAGATCAAGTGCCAAGCAGAACGGAAGCTTAATTTTGGTTGGAGATGCCGGTCACTGCTTTAGCAGCACCAAGAACTGGGGTGTTTTTACTTGATGACTCCCAAAGATGAGGAAGCAAGGATGCTTGTCATTTAAAAACTTTGGAAGCCCTTTTAGAGCCAATACACTCGTCTGCCATTAAGTTTTTAATTCGCCACCCACAAGGTTTGCTCTGGGCTCCTTCAGTCCTCTGTATCCTAAAGGACTTGGCATTGTAAACCACCATTCACTGCCCACACTTGCTTCCTTGCTTGAAACCATAACCCTGCTTGTGACAACTCAAGCGGTTCTAGTGATTTCTTTGTCAGCTTCTAGAAGAGATGAGAAGAAAGCTTACAGCTGAGGAATGAGGGGCAAGGAACAAGTACTGAACAAATGGCAATGACAGGCCAAAGTACAGGAAAGTAAAAAGGTAAAGGGGAGGAAAGATACGGTTCCTAGTCACATGGGGTCAGACTGCTAAGCTGACAGCAAGGCTGCATGCCATTTTGCACTTCAATTCGTGCATGCAATTAATATGATTGCATATGCATTTTGGCTCGGCTTGGGTGCAAACGATTCAAATGGACAGCCTGGATGGCTGTCTCCTTCGGCTTGTGTGGGCAAACACCTCTTTTGAACGTGCAGTTGCAGGACATACGCACACAAGTGGCATACAGCTCTGCGCTTCTGAGGTTTGACGGCTCTGGCCGTGAATGTTAGAAGCAGAAGAGACAGGGTAGGGGAGAGCGGCAGAGCCGAGCTGTGGAGGCAAATGGGGGAAGGTCAAGTAGTAAACTTCCCCCATATCTAATCTTACCTGCACGAGGATGAGTTTACAGCGCAGAGGCACTGCGTCCGGGAACTCTTCGCCAAAGCACAGCGTGACTTTGCTGTCAGGGAAGCGGCCTTGACTGCTGTAGAACTGCTGCAGCTCTGGGAGGAGAAATGCACATGGTTGGAAAAGGATAGAAATGAATCACGGGAGAGTTTGCACTTGCACGCACAGCTGTAGCAGGTGCTGTAGGCCTCCAGCCACCTGCAGCAGGCATGTTGTCCACACCCATCCGCTGGAGATTTTTAAATCTCAATGCAGGGGCTCCTGGTCCAAGCCCACAAGAGGCTTTGTGGCAAGATGCAAGCCGTGCCATGTCAAGGATGAAGTTCAAGGGTGCCAAGCTGAAGTGCTTTGTCTGCATTTGTGTGTAGGAAAAGGCAAGAGTCCAGCTCCAATGTTTAATACTTCTCTCAGCCTAGCAAAGAGCACTCCCCCACCACACTTTTGGAAACCCTTTCAGGAGACAGATGGAGTTACAGGGGGGAGAAACGGGGCGGGGGTGTGATTTCAAATTGGGCATTATACTTATTTATTTTTTAAAGAGGAAGACTAAGAAAAACAAGAATAACTGCAGGTCCTGATCAGTAGCCACCTCATGAAGGTCAGTAAGAGTTGCATTTCAATCCAGATGTGACACTCTGACATGAGAGCACTGGTATTTCCTTGACCCCAGGGCATCTAGGCATGATCCTTCACCAGTATAAAACCAACCCTCTGGTGCATCATGCAAATCATGCCAAATCACACAAGAAGGCAGAAAACTACGGGGTATCTGGAGCCGTCACTGAAGCTGGGCACTTTGAGGATGAACTCTACATAGCAAGCACCAGATCTTCATGTGGCATAAACCTACATAGGTTAGCTGACCTCAAGAGCAGGGATGATGGTCTGGTGGTCAGAGTACTGCCTGGGACCTGAGATACTTGGGTTTCAAGATTGTGCTCTGCCACTGGTTCCCTGTGCGACCTCAGTCATGTCACTCAACCTCCATTCCCCATCTGTACAATGCAGCACTCTCACACCCTGCAGATAAATGCATTCAAGACTGCATCAAACCCAGGCGCTGTTCTAATGGAAAATGGAGCATTTAAACCCCTTCAACTACAATGGACTTCACAAAAGACATGCAGGTTTCCACTAGCTGAAGACGGGACCCTACAGTGCAGGGGGCAGAGACATAAAGAGAGCATGGTACCAACCTCGGATGAACTGGTTGGTGTCGAATATCTTGACCACCTCGTCCCTCCCCAGCTTGTTGGGCCTGTCCTTGAAGAGCAGGTTGTTCCCGCTCCAAAAGACCCGGCCCTGGCACAGCCTCTTGATGAAGATGCCCTGCTTGTTGCTGTGCAAGAGGACGCCCCGTTCCAAGTGCCCAAAGAGCTTCCTCGTGATCTGCTTCTGGCGGTCGTTGGGGATGGCGTCAGCGGAAGGGAACCGGATGTGCTCCAGGCTGTCGGTGCAGACCTTCTCGCTGTGAGCCGGGGGCTGGCCGAGGGAGATCCGGCAGCCTTCGGGGTAGGAGGTTGTGGTGTGGCCAACCAGCTTCCCACCATAGTAGAAGCTGATCACCATCTGACAGTAGGCTGTGGGGAGACACGCAGACATGGCCTCTCAGCAGATGCACAGACAATCTCTCCATCGTGGCTGACAGCAACCCATGGCTGCACACAGGACAGAGCTACAAGAGCCCCGGATGTGCCAAGGATGCAGCTACCAGCAGCCTTGGCTATTCTGTCGGCATCGTGGCTCTCCACCAGCTTGCTGGGGTGGGAACAAGCAGTGTTTTTAGAGAAAGAGAGCCTGCCGGTCTTACTGCCATGAGCAGACCTCCTGAAGCACGTCTTTTTATTGCCATCAGTTCACGGGAGCTAGGACCCTTATGGTTTTATCAGCTGGTACTGGAGATGCCATGTGTGACTACAGCATGGTCTCCAACACATGTCCCCCTCCTGTCTCCAGGCTACAGACATCTGCTACTGATGATCAAAGGGTTTAGATTTGGGTAAATCATGTCAGCAAAGCAGCTTGCTCTATGGGACAACACCAGGTATGGCTGGGAGAGCCACCAGCACCGTACCTTTGGGTGGGACCTGGCCAATATGTGGCTCTCTATCCTCTCTCTATGCTCACTGCCTCATACTTTATGGCCTGTGTCCTCAACTCCAAGGCGGGGGAGTGGTCCCATGATCACATAATGGCAGGGCTATCTAGGAGCACTGGGACTGGCATTTCATTGAGCTAGGAAGCATGTAGTGATGTACCTGAATTAACCTGGAGCTGCTCATAGTTTGAGTACCCATTCATCAAGGGCACAGCTGCTGGAAAAGAAGAAACAAAAGTTACATCTGTGTATAAGGCTCTGGCACAAGTACGGTCTCGTTCCACAACCGCAGCCCACTCGTTTAGCTTCAGCACAACCTCCTCACGCCAAACCCACATCGTTATTCCTCCTGGGTTTCACCTTCAAATACACAGCCCTTGAGGGGTCTTGAAAGACTTTTGCCCATATCAAGGGCACAGTCAAAGTCAAGGGGTCCAGGATGTTACAGATCCCATGTTTCTCATGGGAATTTGAAGACCTCCCAGAGACATTGAGAGGCTGGCACGCTAATAGCAGAGACCTGAGGATACTGAATCCAGAAAAGTTGGTCACAAAGTCCTAACGAACTATTAAAAATTGGAGGTTAGGGCCAATCACTGCAAAAATAAAAATGTTTGCAGGAAGATTTATAATTTGATGTACAATCAGCTTCTTCCTCAGCTAGGAGCGTATCTATAGGCAGCTGCTCAGAGATCACATGCATCTCCTGTCTGGCTCCTCAGCGGCTACTGAACCAAACTCCGTTCTATTAAAACATCACATTTATTGTTTCTTACAGGGATTAGATGGCTGCATCCACCAGTCTGGTATGGGAGGGTTTCGGCAACTTTCTTGAGGTGGGGAAGGGCTTCTCTTTATTATTCCCAGGTATTCATCCACACACTGGGACTGAGGAAGAAAGAAAAATCATTAGATCTAGCTGGGATGATGTAGTTGAGACTAGTCCTGCTTGGACCAGGGGGATGGATTACACGTGGCCTCCTGAGGTCCCCTCCAGCCCTCATATTCTGTGATTTTTATAATTATCTGGACAGCAAACCTGGAATGAGTTTTGCCGTTTCAGGCAATCGGTGTTCATTTGCAACAGGTTATTTTCAAGATAAAGAACAGTGGGAAAACCCGTTATAATAAAGCAGCCAGGAGTCTGTGACGTCAGTGAACTCGCCTTTTTTATGGCTGGTTAGAAATCTGGGCCTAGGGCTACATGGACAAGCCAAGAAACCAAAGGTCGGGCTTCTCCCAGATGAAATACTGGAAGTGCCTGGGAAGCTGCGAGCAGCATTTAGCCCAGCTCTATACCGTCAGGAAGAGCAACAAGGACTACTGAGCTCTGGCCCAAGCTGAAATGCTTATACAAAGGAAGGCAAGGCAAAGAGTCAGTGATGTGACAAGCAGGTCTCACGGACATCTGCATTATGTTATGGAAACAGATGTGACAAATGCATTTGCAATCCATCACTTGCCCACCTTGCAACACTGATTATCAGAACTTCGTTCTCCCATCTATCCCACCCTGCCAATCAAAAAAAAAAGGCAAAAAAAAAACCAGGGAGAAACTCTTTGCCATCAGCAGCCCTTCCAGCCAAGAAATCCCACCTCTCTCTTAGCCATAGGAATTCGTTACCTCTTTCATTAGGTCATCTACTATTGTGGAGGGACTGCAGTCCATGTCAGCGACTTCGTTCAAGCTGTTCCCATTCGCAAGGCCAATTTTGCCTGCAGAGAAACACAAGGATTCAGCACTTAACCTTATACAGCATCCTCGGAAAGAGCAGACTGCAAAAGCAAGCAGATGGCTCTGGAGACCAACAAGGGTGCATATTTGCTAAAAGCAAGGAAAGCAACAGCAACAAAAAAAATTGTAGCCGTGGTGTCTTATTGCTCATTGTCCCATGTCAACCACCCTGTTTATCATGTTACTTTAAATCACATGAGATCTGAGGCTGGTAGTTTTGACTCGGGGAAAATTCCCAGTGAAGTCAATGGGAGTTTTGGCAGGGCAAGGACAGTGGGGTCAAACCGACTGGGTTACAGGGACTTCAACAAGGCACTAGAAAGAAGCTAATTCTGCTGCAGCACAGTCCTTTTCTCAGCCATCTAAAGGAAATGGAGAGGGGATAAGGCTGCTTCTTCTTTTTTTTTTTTTTTTTTTTTCTTTTTTTGCTCCTCCTGCCCAAGCACAGCTCAGTCTTGCCGCTGGGAACCTGCCGTGCAATTTGCATAATGCATGTAACAAGGGCACAGAAATGTAAGAGCCCTGAGTGTGAATGAAGGTGACAAAGCCCAGCAGGCTGGAGGCAGGTTTCCTGGCAACTTGCATTTTGCATGCTTTTGCTTTTAACCATGCGCCCCTAACCACAGATGAAGATAAAATTAGCACAGCTAGCGCCAGACCGGACACCACTGCAACAACTGCTCACTGCTGAACAATTGTGGCTATAATCATTGATTTTACTGAGAGGTAATGAGAGGGGGGTTTAATCCATTTGCACAGTGTGGGGCAATGCACCCTTTTGGGGGGAACAACGGCGGGGCCAGAATCAGTGCTGCAACCTCAGTAAGGACAATTTTGAAGCACTGATTCCCACCGCCCCCCTAGAAACAGTGGTGCATGTGAAAATAAGACCATGGTGTCTGTGCCTGACAGCTGGGAAGCCCCCTGAGCTTCCCCCCATGGAGATTTCCCCAGGTCCACCCATGTTGTGGCTCCAGCAGAGTCTGCTCTCCTGGGACTGGATCCACTAGAAGCCAAGGTCATCTGCGGGAGCCCCTGTGAAGTGGTCTAGGGGCCCTTCGTCTCCCAGCCAGGCTATCCGGGCTTCTCTTGAAGCAGGGCAGTACGTCCTAATGCTAGGGAAAAAGTTAATGCAATGTGGCTGCATTAACTCTTATCCGGGATTCCCAGGTGGCTGCATTGCCCAAGAAGCAATGGTGCAGGGATGCATGGCTGGGAAGAGGCATGCAGAGAGCAGATCTAGCGGGAGTGGGAAGGGCTGCCCTAACACCTAGCACCTCGCTGGGACAGACAGGCCCAGGCTGACCCGGCAGGGATTCGTGCTGGTGAGAGCTGAATGCTACAGGAAATGCAGCCTAAGATTTGCATGTAGGTCAAAGGCACCGGCTTTCATTGCTGTTATTAGTCCAGTACTCGGTCCACCCCTTGGCTTTAATAACCAGCCACAGCCTCCCCCTGCCACTGACCCCTCGGAGGTACAAGGGTGGCTGCGGAGGAGTCGCGTTGCTCGCTAGCACTTACATTTCTGTTCTTCCTCCGGGACGATGCGGTACACTTTGTACGGCTCCGAGATATCCAGCTGGGACCTGTCCGTCACCTCCTCGAAGTCCGGGCTCTTGTTCAAAGCGCAGCGGAGTCTGGTCTTCCAGGTGGCGGGCTCCGCTTTGTCACCTTCTTTAAACTTCCCTTTGAAAACAGCCCATGCCTGGAACAAGGGGCAGAGAGAGCGAGGTCCGTTGACAACTGGCGCTGTGACTCCGGAGCCAAATCTCGCGCTCGTGACTCACATTACTCCATTTCCTAATGCCCTTGCTCATGGGGACACCACAGCCAGCTCCAGTTTGAGCCGCTTCAGCTATCTTAGATTACCTACCTGGCACCTGTCAACCCACCTCCAAATCTTTACTTCACCTCGCACCATCCCTATCAGGTAGCAAGGTGCCCCAGCCCCCATTTTACAGGCAGGGGCCTGAGACACAGACCTGCTTGCCTGAGACATGCACAACTCCTGTGATGGGGATGGGAACTGAACCCTCATCTCCTGGGTCCTAAGCGGGGTACCATCCTCTTGCCCCACAGAAGCCAAAGCAGAGGCTGCAGGGGGAAGGATGGCAGCTGACAGCCCGGGGCCGATAAACATCTGGCCATAACCAGCATGCGGGAAGTTTTAACTTGCTTTCAGGTAAGATATGCAGGTAGGAAGGCAGGTTAGCACCCCATGCACTGCCCAGCTCTCCTGCATGCAGCATCTTCTGCCATCAGGGAGCCCTATTTGAAATGCCTGGAGTCCACCTTCTCCAGCCACCTATTCCAAGGACAATGTCTTGTGAGATGCACTAGAGCGGAGGCTATCTGTGTGCCACAAGCATTGAAGCTGGCCCTGGGGCCCCAAGCTGGTCAGACCATGCCTGCCCCCACGCCTCTCTGCATGGAAATCTACCCCGGGCAAGCGGTATGGGGAAGACGGTCACTTCCCCGGCACTGTCCCACTTTGTCGGAAAGGTGCAGGACAGGGATCCCGGCTGGGGAGAGGCAGGCAGAACGAAGGAGGGCAAAAGTGGGAGTGCAGGGCATTCAAAGCCAGAGATAATCCAGCCCTCTGGAGCAATGCACTTGCAAGTGAGCCCTTGCAAAGAGGAAGCTGCAATAGGTTTCAAAAGAGTTTTCTAAAACAAAATGCGGCTCTTCCACCGAAAACCAGTCATTCTGGGCAAAAAGCCCACAAAGGGCCACCGTTCCCATCACACAGCATGCTCTGCCTTCCAGACTTGGCAGCAGCAATTAACTGAGGCCCCAAACGAGCCTTGCAAATGCTCTGATCACAACAGGGAAGACCAGCGAGTGCGGCAGGAAGAGTTTTGCATTGTCCCCCATGTCTGTCCTGACCCGGAGCTATTCTAAGCCCTCTTGCGCATGCTCAGTGAAAGCTGATTTCCAAAAATACGCTGGTGATCACCACAGCTGAGCTCAGCACAGGTGTCAGTGGCTGAGGCCAGGGCCACAGTCTTCATATAACAGATGCACTGTGGTGCGGGGCTCACTTTTGGGGGAAAAAAGAGCATAAGGTCAAGTTCGTTTTAAAAAGCCACACCCCCAGAGAAGGCTGACATTTTACAGGCAGCTTTGGTGGTATTACAGTGTAATGAAAAAAAAAAATCTATATTCAGGGATACAAAAGAATCAAAAGAATTAACTCATCAACATAATCTGAATATACTGATTTGGAAAACAGCCCAACTTGATCTCTTTGGAGGGGTTTAAATGTGTCCAAAACCCATACTGAGACTCGACCGCAGTCATTTGCAGTGAGGATAGTTATGCACCTGCCTTAGTATCCAAAGGCGCTCTCACTTTCTGTGAATAAATGTCTATGGTAAAAATAAATATATCAAAAATTCTCAGAGACCAGGTCAGTTTGTCACCAGTAAAAGGCAATGTCCGTACTTGAGCCCTTGGGAACACACTTTAAAGTAGAAGTTATAAACCCTGGTTAAAAAGAGAGGGGCAGTAACTCTCAGGGCCAAATTCTGCACATTTCTGCTGGCCGGAAGATTAGCACCAGTGTAAGGGAGCAAGATTTGGCCCATTGCCCGTGACCCTGTGCTTTATTCTGGAGCCAGGACAGAATATGATATCATCTTGCCACACAAGCAAGTCCAGAAAAGCCATTTGGGGATGCTGGGAATTGTGTCGGAAGCAGCAGTAGGTTTAACAATCAAAGGCTTTAAGTTTCTTTTCATGAAAAAAAGAAAGAAAAAGCACTTTCCACTTGGTTAATGTTCAACCTTCAGCCGCCCAGGGAAAAGCTCCTCTCTTTGAAGAAGAAAGCGTGACTCACCTTTTGTGGTGAGAGGGAGCTTTCTTTGAAAGGAGACTAGTTTAAGCACATGTACCAGTTTTAGGAATTCACCAAAACCTTGCTAATCCCACTATAATTATGAGCCACAGCCAAGCATGGATACGCGCAGGCCTAATCCTGGCAGCTACTGAGCACCTGCAACCCCTGAGAGAATCAATGAGTAAAGCTGCTTAGAAAACAAGGCTCCGTCTCTGTGGGAATATATATATATATATATATATACATACATACATACATACATACATACACATAGATAGATATATATAGGTATATATGCACACACACATGCATACATATATACATATAGCTATAGATATATACATATACACATGCATACACACACACACACACACACAAATATATATATATATACACACACATATACACATACACACACACACACACACACACACACACACACATATTTGTTCCAGGTAAAAATAAAAAAGTTTAGTTGGCACCTCTGGGCCATTTTCTTTCCCCAAACATTATCATTTCTTTATAGCTCCAATTTTCCATCCCCAAATAATTGGGATGGGCCATTCAAAACCAGCCCTATGCATGGGTATACAACACCTCTTGAATCAGGCCGTTCATTAGGAGATGTTATTTAGTGCATGCCCAATTTGGATTTATTTAAAGGAGCTCTGGGCAATTCTTGCTAGCCAAGAACAAAACCCCAAACAGCGCAAAACGCACCTGCGGGGAGGTAACCTGTTTTACTCTTATACCAAAACTGGTACAGGTGCTGAGAGCATCCTGCAAGCAAAGCCAGTCAGTGGGACATGAAAGCATAAGGCATGCAATAGGCTACACAAGCAAGTGCAGGGGCAGGGGCTGTGCTAATATATCAGTAATGACCAGAGACAGCAATGCCCTAGCGGAGTTGAGAGCAGCCCTTACCTTGAAGATGGAGGCATCCACCTCCTGGTTGTAATCCTGTTTCCCGGCGTGTTTCCAGGGGATACGGAACATGTTTTTCTCTTCGTTCTCCCAGATCAGCCCGGGGTACATCCCGCTGTCGATCTGTTCGATCAGCCACTGCCGGAGCCTCCTTCCACCATTTCTGTCGCACATCCTGCAAGGGAGAATTGGCAGGGATCTGTTAAGGGCTTCCAAGAAACACGTCGCTGTCGTACACGGAAATCAAAGCTCTGCTGTCCCGTTGCCAGAGATGGAGAGTTAACGGCACCTGGAGGAAAGCGAAACAGGTTGCACAGCGGGGCAGGAGTTGTCAATGCTTCTGCATCTTGTATGTTGTCAGTACTTAATGTATGGTCCTGCCAAAGTATCCCAAATAGAGTACACACATCCCACCTATCGGGCTCCAAAACTACAAGAGAAACAGCCCATTATAGATTATTATTAATATTAATATGCATTTGTGTAGCAAGCACCACGCTAGGGAATCAAAGCACACGCTTTAAGCCTGAAAGAACAAATTCTGCTCTGGGTCACGCTCACATAAATCCACAGTAACTGCACTGACTTCGGGGGAGTGCATTGCTCAGAGCCAAAATAACCAGAATCTGGCCTGAAGCTGCGTTGCGGTCTGCGTGGGGTGCACACGCATCTGCTTACACATTTGGAAAGGGTTAGAAATAGCCAAAGAAATGGGAATAAAACCCAAGTTCGCAGAAATGATATTCTTGGCTGGCACTTCCATGAATTGGTTATAATCGGTACTTCTCGGGATGCAAACTTCCTGCGCTGCAGCACACAGCACTTCTTTGAATGCCACTGAAAACTATTTCTGCGGACGCCGTGCCCCTCGGAGGCCTTCCTTACCCACTCAAAAGGGCTGCCGTGTAAAGGATCCTCTTCCTGGGAATACGCTCACCATTCACAAGAAGTCCCGTCCGCTAGAAATCCCCTAAGTTGCTAGACAGACGCCCACCCAGTAACTAAGCCTGTGTCTAACCCGCATTTCCTCCTGTTATCTTCAATTAAAAAATAAATAAATAAAAACCTCCCGCGGTGCTGGATGACTGCCGAATCACAGGTGAAAAGCCTGACATATCCTCCCTAAATCAACCACTTCAAGCCTTGCACCGGTGCTGCTGAAAGGAACCTGCGTTTGACACCACAGAGTGCAGCAGTAAGTGTCAAAACTAGACTGCATTAGTGAGCTGGTAGGATGCAACGCTGACTTAAATGCAGCTACACCCGCCGAGGACCTGGTTTGACAGACTTCTTACCTCCGAAAGGGCAAATATACGGCCCGATTCTGCTGTTGCTTACCCCAACTTCGAAAGAGTTGCACCGCTGCAAGAGAAGAGTCGCCTCCACTGAGTTTATAATGAAGTCCTAAACTTTAGCAGCCTATGGCAGTCTGTTCCCCTGGGCAAACGCTCATTAGGTCCCAACAGCACGGGGGCCCAAGCAAGAAGTGGGCGACTGCAGGTACAAACTCAAGCAAAATACACCAAGCGTTTCGAGAACTGTCTAATTTTAGTGCACGCAGCAGCACCACTATAGTTAGAAACTGAGAATTTCCTTTAGGCCACAGACCTCCCACTATAGCTCAGCAGTTTTGATACACGTCTCAGCGTCCCAATGTCATTTTATTTCGTTTTGGGTCATGAAACCATTCGAGCGGTCACTAATATTAATAACTCTGCCTTCTGGACTCACACGCTTAGCGCCATTTGTTTGGACCAGGAAGGCTCCCAGAATCAGCCTTCTGGTGGCAGGGGCTCATGAATGCAAACCGAGGGCAAAGTAGAAGAGAGCCACTTTACCCGATCCAAGCAAGGTCATTCATTGAATGTGTCAGCAGCATTAAAAAACACCTGCACATGAACACACCTGATTATGTTAAAACCATTTTGTGGTCCACCACCTAGTTCAAGCCTGGATTTCAAGTGTGCATTGAATGCACAAGAGAATGCAGTGTCCTATTCGTCAAATGCCATCACGCACAAATTCTGGCCACAGGTTCAGAGCATGACAGCGGCAATGGGAGCACGGTCGGGGTCCCACAACCCCGCATAAAAGTACCTAGAGAACCACAAGCCATGCAGCAGGACTCCTGCTATCAGGTTAAAATGGCCTACAGCTAAATAATGAAGTGGGCTGGACTGCGAACTACCCAGACCAACGTGGCCCCCCGCTCTGCGGGTCTTTTTGGGTGATGTCACCTCAAGCACCAATTCCCAGTGACAGGCGGCCACAGGGCTGGAAAAAAAATAGATGTCAACAGCATCCCAGCAGCTGAGTCTAAGTTCCCCCACCCACCCAGCTTCCTGATTTCAAGCTACTCATTATTTCCAGATGTTTAAAGGACTTTTTCCTCTCTCCCCATGCTGTCTCATGTTAACTTGCATCTTGTTTTTAGGAGACTGGAGTTGCCAATCGTGATTTAGGCATTCCTACAACACTGCATTTCCCTCCTTGGCTTCCTACCAGAGGTGAAAGCAGCAATACTTAGAAGAGCAAGCGCTCAAAACTAGAGCTTTCCTCTCCTCCCCCTCCAATTTTCTTCACCCTTCTCATACTTCCTATTTTGCCCCAGGCACTAATAACTGACTTGTCAAGGACTCCAGGACAAACTTGCAGATGTACTCATTTAGCATTTGCTGGCTCTCTTCCCCGCAAAGTGGTGCAAAGCAACCTTAAGACAAGCATTGTAAACAGCTCCAGAGATTAGATGGACACCCATCTCTCCTGACTCCAAATAACATTTTTCTAGCTGTCATATTCAGGCAAAGTCTTCAGTTTTAAAAATAAACCTGGCATCTCTTCAGATAGTCTCTCATAAGGATTTTTATTTTTCGCTAGGGACTGGCGGTATGACTGAACATCTTCTGAATCTACTTATGAGCTTCTCCAACAAAAAATGCCTCGTTTCTGAAATATCCAATATCTGAAAAAAATTGGTTTAAAGGGGCGACTTGGTCTTTAGCTCATTCCTTTGTCCCTACAATTTCTCTCTCCCATTATTTTAGGCTCCCCAAGAGCTTGGCCTTGCTTCTGTGCCATGAAAAGTCACGCAAACCCTCTGCAACTGATATCTGGGGTTTACATGATGCAAGAGCTCGAAAGCAGCGGAGATGGTCATGGCATGCTAAAACCACACACTGATTGGAGATCGCTTGCAATACACAGGAACAAAGAAGCCAGTTAAAGATTGTGATTTTTTACCAGCACAGTTTTTCACTAATGGGAGGGGTGTTTTTCTACACCAGCACAACCGGTTTAGCATCATGAGTCTTTTGACTGTCTATTGTATCAACCAGTATATTAACCTGGTGAAGCCCTCCAAGTGGAGGCATGGTCTGGGAGCACACTAGACATAGGAATGGCTTTGCTTATGTCTATTCAACCCAGGCCAGTCCTTTAAAGTTACTACTCTGCTATACAAGCCTTATGGAGACAGGGCCAAAGAGAAGTCACCACCTCACTGAAATAAGAGACTCCCACTTCCATTCGGCCCATCATCAATAGGATGGGCAGTGCAGAAGAAAGATGGCTTCAGGCTCATTGAACCAAAGGCAGGCTTCATTCAGCACTGCTTGCTGGCTGGTTACTCAGCCCATTTTCCTATCAACAGCAGCCTAAGTTATGCCAAGGTAGAGGGTGGACAAGGAGTGCGTCATCCGTATCTAGCCTAAATAGTCCCGAAAACCCGCATTCTTAAACGCCAGTAAATCTCAGCTTGCCTAGGCAATGTTCAAACCTTGGTCTAAGACAGATCGCTCAGGACAGACTGACAAGGCATGCAGCCCATCTCTCCAAGCAAGACCCCCCCACCACCACCACCACCATTGGGGGTATTGCTCCCTGGTCCAATTCCCTAAAGCAGAGATTCTCAACCAGGGTGCACAGGACCCTGGGGGTCCTCAAAACCCTTTCAAGGGTGCCGCAGGGTGCCATGTAGCACTGTTAGGCGTGCAAACATGATTCACAAGACAAACCCAGAGATACCAAGCAGGAATTCATAGTGTTATAACCATTCTGGCACCTAGTACTTCTCTGCAGTCAAAAAGCACATAACACCCAAGAGCTGGCGTTGCCCGAGGAGTGCCACGGGTCTGCAAAGGCTGAGGACCACTGCCCTCAAGCTGAGGCCTAAAGGTGGGAGCTTGGCATTTGGAAAGCTGCTTCCTCCTCCTCCTTCCCACATCCCGGCTTCTCCGTTGGTTCAGGAGACCGCTCCAGAGGTGCCTCCCTTAACGTGCCACTTTGGCTGGCCGCCCATCTCGGCAGTCAGAGCACGCGGTCCACCTGAGGCTTCCCCTCCCTCCCTCCCTCCCTCCCTCCCTCATCCCGCAATCTGGCCGGCTGCGGGGGAAGCATCACCTTCCTGCTCCCCAGCCAGCCCTGCCAGAGGTGCTCAGAGGTGACACCAAGCCCGAACAAGGCTGTCAAGCCACACCTGCCACGGCGAAGAAGACTCCACATATTCCTTATCAACCTCCCCAGCGAAGCTTTTAAAGCCGGCATGGCCAACCCACAGCACCGAGGCCACGAGTGGCACAGGAAGCCTCCGTGCCAAACTGAGGAAGGGACAAAAAGCAGAGCAGCAGATGGGGCAAGGGGCAGGAAACAGAAGTGCCAGGGGACCGGGCGGGGGGAGCAGCAAACCAGGTGGGGGCAAAAAGCAATGAGGTGGGGAGCAGAAAGCAGAGCAGCACATCAGATGCAGGGCAGAAACCAACAGGGTGCGGATCAGAAAGCAGAGCAGCACCTTAGGTGGGGGCAGAAAGCAAGAGCGTGGAAAGCAGAAAGCTGAGCAGTATATCAGATGGGGCAGAAAGCAGAGCAGCATATCAGATGGGGGCAAAAAGCAACGGGGTGGATAGCAGAAAGCAGAGCAGCGCATCAGATGGGGACAAAAAGCAACGGGGTGGGGGGCAGAAAGCAGAGCAGCACATCAGATGAAGGCAAAAGGCAACAGGGTGGAGAGCAGAAAGCAGAGCAGCACATCAGATGGGGTCAGAAAGCAACGGGGAGGGGGGCAGAAAGCAGAGCAGCACATCAGATGGGGACAAAAAGCAATGGGGAGGGGGCAGAAAGCAGAGCAGCACATCAGATGGGGACAAAAAGCAA